CATTATTGGGTCGTGCATTATCGTGGCTGTACATTATTGCCTCCCTTTTCAAAGCGCTTTGCTGGCGAAATATTGTAATCGGCGAAATCAATTTGTATTACGCGTATTTTCAAATGTGTAATTAGGTCATATTTACAGACCACAATGTATTCAAGTGACGATTATAACGAGGTACGTAAAGTGCATTTATTAACAATACAAACTTTAGATGTTGGTTAGTTACATGTCAAAATTTGTCGTGGAGTTAACCTAATATTTTTCATTGATTCGTTACCTTTCAGGGAGGTTACGAATCCTACGGTGACTATGAACCTCACACAGGAGATCCTCAATATGATTTGGAATATGATCGATCCTATTACAAAATGCCTGAAATGGTAAGCTGTAATTGTGAATATTTAAGATTGTACATTGGAACATGATAATTAATCGAAATTACAATATTTCCAGGTCAAGAAGTTTCTTGTTTACTTCCGAAACATGATAACAGAAGGGGTAACATTTGAAATTTTAAACTTGTATGAAAATACCTTCCCTAAGCTCACGGAGCAATATTTTGAAAATTCTCCATGGCCTGATGAGAGTGAAGTTGCCCCTATTGTGGATAATGATCATGTAAGTTAGAAACATTGGCCAACATTTACAAAACAATTGAGTACTGAAAACAATGATTATTATCAATGTTTGTTTATGTAAAATTAGTAACTCTCCTTATTTGTGATCTTGTCATTAGCAATTGAACAAATTCTAGGCAAGTGTTAGTATTCATGCTAATAAATTTCATAGCGGTTTCAGTAATGATGCAATATAATGATGATGGCATATAATACCAAAAATAGTAAGTTTCTACTGTCTGTTAAGTTTTCAGTTATGAACAGTAACATAATATTACATAGTTAAGTTTTAATATAAATCTCCACTATGTTTTAACTAGAAATGCTAATTGTATAAGGTGAAAAAATATATGTAAACTATCTCCCAATCCCTTCATGCTGAATCTAAAATTATATTTGAAAACCTTAAGACTAATTTTAGATGTTTGCAGTTGTTCCAATAGTATTGTTTTTTTTTGTAGATATTCATGATCCTGTACAAGGAGTTGTACTATAGGGATATCTACTCCAGAGTGGCGGGAGGTCCCAAACCTGAGCAGCGTTTCCATTCATTCTACAACTACTGTGACCTGTTCAATTACATCTTGTCTGCGGAGACTCCTGTGCCTCTGGAGTTACCTGACCAGTGGCTGTGGGAGCTAGTTGATGAATTTGTTTATCAATTTCAATCATTCGCTCAGTACAGGTAATTTATTTTACTTCTAGACTTATATTGATTCATGAAGTGTATAGTAATTTTCAAATATCTTAGTGGCCCAGAACTTTGCTTGAGTTGCACACCACACAATTTTAGGTCTATTGGATGCTGTAGCTAGCTCAAAGCCAGCCACATTTATTTGAATAATACAAACTGACCAAAAACATAAATTTAATATTTAAAATTTGTTTTAACATTGATTTATTATTACAAAAACATAGTGAATACATAAATATAGAAAACTCATTTGTTTTAACATGTAATTTTATATAGTGTGTAAATTTCAGGTCTAGAACCTCAAAATTAAGTCAAGCTGAGATTGAAACTCTCAATACTGAGAACAAAGCGTGGAATGTTCTATGCATTCTTAATGTTTTACACTCTCTTGTTGACAAGTCTAACATCAAGAGACAACTTGAGGTAATTTTCATATCATTTATTTTAATATTAAAGTAGTAAATAGTAAAACAAATAATAAAATCTAGTTGTTTTCATTTGTTGCTTTCATATATCTTTTTGATTTTTTATAAAATAATAAAAATCACCAGGTTTATGCATCCGGTGGTGATCCTGATTCAGTGGCGGGAGAATTTGGCCGCCATTCCCTGTACAAGATGTTGGGATATTTCTCACTTGTTGGTCTTCTCAGACTTCATTCCTTGCTCGGAGATTATTATCAAGCAATCAAGGTAATCAATATTTTATTCACTGTTCTTGATTTTGTTAGTTTGTAGATTAGCAGCTAATAAAAAGTATAATTATATATTGAGACAGAGAGACAGAAGTAATTATTAAAATTAAATTTTATTAATTTAATTATTTTCTTTTGTACTACAAATGCTGACACCCGCATATCCTATGTGTTGTTCCAGACTATGTTTTACATCTATGTCAAATTCAAAAATGATCCATTGACTTTTCCTGGAGTTATGTAATAAAAATCTCCATCCATCCTTTTGCTATGTAATATTAGTAAGATTATGAACACAATAAAGATAACTAGTACTTTAAAAGTTGTTATTAAATATAGCTGATAACTATCACAATGCCCTCAGTCCCTGGCAGACCTTAAATGGTCAGAGGGTGCAAAGAATCCACGGGTGAGCCATGAAGATTGCTACTAGGATTAATTATATTTGTTATTCCAGGTGTTGGAGAACATAGAGCTGCACAAGAAGTCTCAGTACTCGCACGTGCCGGCGTGTCAGATATCCACGTCTTATTACGTAGGGTTTGCGTACATGATGATGCGGCGCTACTCGGACGCGATCCGCACGCTGTCGGCCGCGCTGCTCTACATACAGCGCACCAAGCAGCTCTTCTCCGCCCGCTCCTACCAGAATGACCAGATCAACAAGCAGACTGACCAGATGTACCATCTGCTGGCCATTTGTCTGGTACTCCACCCGCAGTGTGTCGATGAGTCTATACAGCAGGTATGGTTACATTTAATGTCCAAATATAACTTTTTTTTTTTTAGTTATGTGCTTGACTATAAACCCACCTAATGAAAGTGATGTCAACGAATGGTATGCATTAGCCTTATACTCGTTCACTCTTTTCTTGTTAATAAGTTTGTAAAAATATTTTAATTTGTTCCAATCTAGCCATTTCATTATAAAGGGTTAAGTTAAGGGATAATTTTCCAGGTTCTCCGTGAGAAGAATTACCATGAAAAGATGTACAAGATGCAGTACGGCGAGATGAGCGAGTTCGAGAGCTGCTTCACGTTCGCGTGCCCCAAGTTCCTGTCGCCGTGCCCGCCGCCCATCGAGCCCGGCTCCAACTACAGCCGCGACGCCGTCAAGCATCAGACGCAGGTCTTCATGGATGAGGTACCCACATACCAACGTCGCTTCTAATAACTTCTAGCATACAACTGACAAGAAGGTAGTTTGAATGTATGTAAATGTTGGCTAAGACTAAAGTATTGACCCGATTTTTTACCTTATGTTACTCAGCAATTATGTAGCTTTCCAATGGTAAAAGAATTTTTGTATGTATTGAAAAAAATATTGATTTATTTCAATACATACAAAAATGCAAATCTTTATAATATTAGTATAGACTCTTATCGCGATGTGTTTGTTTTGTATACAGGTCCGTCAACAGAAGATGCTGCCGACGATCAGGTCTTACCTGAAACTGTACACGACGCTGCCGCTGGCGAAGCTGGCCGCCTTCATGTCGGCGGCGCGCGGCAGCGAGCGGGACGCGGCTCGCGAGCACGCCGCGCTCGCCATACACCTGCTCTGCTTCAAGCACAAGATGAAGAACGTCGTCTGGACCAAGGGGCCAAGCGGACTCGATGGGAAGTTCCAGAGCGGATCTGAGGTCAGCCTTATTTACCATACATTCCTAACAATCAATTTACAGCTTTTATTTCAAATGTTTACTAAGGAGATCCTAATCAAAGGTTAAATATTTTCTTTTGTTAAGTTGTTATAACAATGTCAACTACTTTGAATTTTTAAATGTCGATTTTTTTTAGATTAAACAGAGAGAGGACCAGAGGTTAATCCACCGATAAAAACACAGTCCTTAAATAAATACAACCTTTTTAGAAAATGTTTTTTATAGTTTCTTTATGAAATGTTTTTATTACAGTTGGATTTCTATATTGACAACGACATGATCCACATCGCTGACACCAAGGTGGCTCACCGCTACGGAGACTTCTTCATCCGCAAGCTGCTCAAGTTTGAAGAGCTGAACCGAAAGTTGCACCATATTAAAATATAAACACATCAATTTTGTATAAAAACAAACAACATTATTTCTAGTACCAGTTTGTATTTCAAACTCTCGGAGCATAACGAATAAATTGACGAGATCTTTTATAAAACTTTTTCGGTTCTTTTATTGTAATGTTCTCCCTTTGCACAGTTTCAGGATGTGCCTCCATGAATTGTTTCCAAGGATGTTCTTCTTCAATGTGTACATCTTTCAGCCATGTCTCATATTTGCTTAGAAAACTTTTGCAAGACAATGACAAACTTTCATTTGCACTTTTTTCATCCTAAAAAAAAAAACATGTAAATTGTTCAAAGCAAACTAGTATTCACTTTCGAAATTCACCTGTTATTAAAAAATTAATACAAACACTATTTACCTTATTTAAAATATTTACACATTTATCATGGAAAGCTTCCAAATGTTTTAAAAAGACCTCGTTTGGTTTCAGATTCTCCTCCTTTAGAATACCCATGATGTACAAAACATAACCAAATTTCAGTTGTACTGTACCATGTCTCAGTAATGTTCCCAAAATTTCAATATTGACTCTGAAACAATCATAATTTTATACAATTTAGTATAAAAGTTTTTGTTATGTTAAATAGATGTAACTTCTTTTTTTCAGATAACAATAATAATAATAATAAACAAATAAACTTACTTCAGTTGCTTTTCTTTCATTTCATTAAGTAATTTTTCAGCATTCTCTTGTGTATTACAAGCCATTGCCAAAACTCCATATGTCAGGATGTTAGATTTTATAGCTTTCCTGCGTTGATAACTTTTTTTGCAACTTTTAACTTCATTTTCTATTAATTCTTTAATAACCTGCAAAATAGTTGTGAATTAGAAATTCATTGATTAACGAATACTCTAAAAGCCTTACAAATAAATGCAGTATAAAGTTAAACTCGGGAATAAACTGAGTATAAGCAAAAGTACCAATATATGTCTATACTCAGTTCATTCCTAACTTCATACCACGTTTATTTGTAAGGCTGTAAGTGTTTGTTTATACTTACAAATGCACCATCATAATCCTTACGTAAACATCTTTTCTTAATAAGCATATTATAAAAATCTATATCTGGTTTTACATTTAAAGATTTCATTTTCTCAATAATGTTTATTTCGCTATCTCTATTTTCATCTATTAAAGGTAACATTTGTGTGAATGTTTTAATATCAGGTTTTACAGATAGTGCATCCATTTCTTTAAGAAAATCCTCTTGCCCACCAACAATTGCAAATTTATCTTGTAAAGTTTTCACTTCTTGTAGTGATAACACCTGATTTAATTGTAAAAACTTCGATAATAAATTGGGAACTGTTCTTTTTTCACTTTTCATTGTTTTATATTCTTTTGGGAGTATTGTTATCATGTTTTGATTATGAACAGTTATTTCTCTACTTGTTCCACCACTAGGAACAAAATTTTGATCTTCTGAATTAATCTCTTCATTAGGGTTCATTGATTCATTGCCAGTTTGTAGAGTTGGTTGTTTTTCAATATTTAGATTTTTTAATTTCTTACTTTCGATACTTTTGACACTTTTATTTGATTCTATCTGTAATCTGTTAACTCTGCTTAAATCTAACATAATTTGATCTTGAATAGCTTCAATTAAAGTTTGAATATCATCTTTGGAGCCTAAATTACAGTCTTTAACACATTTCAGCATCAAATTGAATGTGTAAACATTTGGCTTCTCTCTCATAGTCAACATTTTTCTCCATACTAGTAGGGCATGTCGTAAACCATGCTCTTTGTCATTAATACAAGCATGTAGAAGATGATTAAAAGTGTGAACTCTAATTTTAATTTTCTTTGTCATCATTTCATCTACAATTTTAAATGCCATCGGTAGATCACCACATCTACCAAATGCCTTGATCATTACATTGTAATTTGTAAGATTTGGTTCAACACCTTTTTCTATCATTAGTTCTCTTAAATGCTTTGCATTCTTCAAACCATCTAAACGCCAGGGACTATTTACACATGCTTCAAACAAACAGGTATATGTATCACCAGTTGGCTTCAGAGCCCTCCTTTTCATATCATTAAATAGTTTAAAGGCCTTTTTGGTATATCCTACATCAGCACAGGCTCCTATTAAGATATTGTAAATATAATTTTCTGGTTTCACTCTATCTTCTTTTAACATTCTTACTTCTAATATGTCTATTGCTTCTTTAAGACGCTTATGTTTTAAATATTGTTTTATAAGATCAGCATACTGCTTGATAGTTAATTTTTGACTTGGTAGAGGGATTTTTTCGAGATACTCTTGTTCTTTAATATCTCCTTCATCCTCCAGCAAATCTTTGGCATTACTTTTAAATTTAGTTGATAAAGTGCCAAATGTATCAGGATCTTCAATAAATTTCAAATTTGTTTCCGTTTTGAAAACTTGTTTCGATCTATCATCGTCCAATGTTTTTAAAGAGGAGGCATAATTTTTATTAATAACAAAGTCAAAGCGCTTCAAACTTACTCGCATATTTCTCAAACTATACATTTTGAAAAGTGCCATAATGAACATCTGCTTGCAACAAGATTTTGCATTGAAATTGAAATATGTCGTAAATTGCAAAACAATAATATTAATGTTGCTAGATCGTATATTTATTGATTTAAGTTTATTTAAATTCAATACCTTCACTGTAAACCCTTTTAAACGAATATTACAACTTACGATTCTGTTTAGCACTTTATTCGTTTCGAATCGTTGGCCAAAGCTAGATCAGGAGAAATTATGCCCTTAATTATTAAATATTTATTTGTACACAACTATAAAATGTATAAACTATATTTATTTTTAGGTTAGGTTATTTACATTGACAGTTGACAGGAATTTGTGATTTTAGCGAGAATAACACCAAAAGCCAATAAAATATTTAAATACTAACTACGTTGAACACATATTTATTAACATCTTAACACATTATAATAAAAATAAGTAACACTGTTGTTTCAAATCTGTAATGTTAATATCATAAAATATTTTAATAATACAGTTCTAATGTTGTTTTTGAACTGAACGCATAAAGTTTGAAGTGAGAGTGACATTGACAATATTTTCTATTTGGACATTTGACATTTATCGCATGGCCCGCATGGTATTAAAAAAGAAAGTATATATCAAGTTGTTCTAATTATTTGGTTATTTTATTTGAGTAAGCATGTCTGATGATAACGTAGAAGATATGGAGGCAAGTTCCTCTGGTAGTGACAATGAAGAAGAAGAAATGGCCGAAGACGAAGACAATGTTCCAAAAACATATCTTCCCGGTCAGCCGCTAAAAGAAGACGAACATCTAGTTTGTGACCAGTCAGCATATGTGATGCTACATCAAGCTCAGACGGGTGCACCATGTCTTAGTTTTGACATAGTCACGGATAACTTAGGCAGCGATAGAAGTGAATATCCCATGACTGCTTATATGGTCGCTGGAACACAGGCTTCTAGCGTACATCTCAATAAGTAAGAAAGTATTTATATCTATATCCATAAATAATATTATAAACACTGAGGAGTGCAAGCTGAAACTAGTTTAATTAAAAATACTTTGTCAAATTCTATTAATCAAAAATCATTATCAGTGTAGGTAGTCTTGGATATGTCAACATGGACATGTACCTGTTACTACTCTCTCTACTATCAATATTATGTATGGTTTTGTTTATTATTAACTAGATTTTGATGCGACTCCATCCATATGGAATAAAAACAAAACAAAAGAGAGTAGCCTATGTGATCTTCCAGACTATCCTCTACATGTATCCCAAATTTAATCAAAATCCATTCAGCCATTTAGGCTACAAACTCTAACATCCATCCATCCATACCTTTACATGTATACTATTAGTAAGAGCAAGATTAAAAGAAACTTGTACCTTTATTTTAAGAATGTTGTAATGTTTCAGTGTCATTGTAATGAAAATGTCAAATCTTCATTCCACAACAAAACTTGACGAGGATCAAGAGTCAGATGATGAGGATGGTGAAGATGAGGAAGAAGATGAAGAAAAGAAACCCAACATGACATTTGCATTTATTAAACATGAAGGCTGTGTTACCAGGATAAGGGTATGTCACTAGTTAACATATTACATTTTGATACAATCTTTACTTCTATACAAATATAATAAAGAGAGAATATTTGATTTTTTTTATAATAAAAGGAGACAAACAAGGTATTTTTGTATGTATTGATATAACTTTAAAACTACTGGGCTGATTTAAAACATTCTTTAACCATTAAAAAGCTATGTTATGAGTGAGTGACATAGACTATATTTTTTTATTTCATGCAAAGTAATGAGCAACAGCTAGTTTTCATTTATTATACTAGAATGATAGTGAACTTCGGAAATGAGTTGGAGTATTGAAAGTGGTAATATGAAAAAAATAAACTAAACTGTATAATTTATTATTTTCAGACAACAAATTATAGGAATTCAGTTTTAGCTGCAAGTTGGTCAGAACTGGGTGTGGTGAATGTGTGGAATATAACACAGCAATTACAAGCTGTTGATGATCCCATACTGTTAGAAAGATACAACCTTAGCAATGTAACAACCCCTGTAAAGCCTCTCTACTCCTTCAATGGACACCAACAAGAAGGATTTGGCATTGATTGGTGTCCTACAGAATTAGGTGTTGGTATATTTTCAATCAGATATCGATTTTTATCTGTACTAGTTTATATTTATTGTACTATGTACTTTTAGGTACTAGCAACAGGTGACTGCAGAAGAGACATTCATATTTGGAAACCAAATGAAGGTGGGACATGGAATGTGGATCAGCGCCCTCTAGTAGGTCACACAAGTTCTGTTGAAGATATTCAATGGTCACCTAACGAAAGGTAAATACTACTTTAATTTAAATTAATTTAATCAAGTGCACAAAATTCATACAACCCTTTTTTATATTAAAATAAATATATTTATTTTTAGAAATGTACTAGCATCATGTTCGGTTGACAAGTCAATACGTATTTGGGACACAAGAGCAGGACCACAAAAAGCGTGCATGCTGACTGCTGAGAATGCTCACCAGAGTGATGTCAATGTTATATCTTGGAACAACAAGGAACCATTTATAGCAAGCGGTAATGTAAATTAGTGTTAAGAAAAAATCCTTTGCACAGGCTTTACTTAAATCATAATAAGTTATTTATTTGTGACAACATGATTATATGCAATAATTGTTTCGTAAACTCACATATTGCCCATAAGTTAAACTTTAGATTTGGCACTTAAAAATTGATTGTCATAGGTGGTGATGATGGCTTCCTTCATATATGGGACTTAAGGAATTTCACAAGTAACTCCCCTGTGGGAACCTTCAAGCATCATACAGCGCCAGTTACATCGGTAGAATGGCACTGGTCGGAGCCCAGCGTTTTAGCATCAGCAGGAGAAGACAATCAAGTCGCCCTCTGGGATTTAGCAGTAGAAAGAGATGATGATGAAGTTATTGAAGAAGAACTAAAGGTAAGCAGAATTAGTAATGTTTAAACCCAGTAATTAGTTATTAAGAAGTGTGAAACTATTTTTTTAATAATTGATAAATTGTGTTTCTGTTGCAGAATTTACCTCCTCAGCTATTATTTATTCATCAAGGGCAAACTGAAATTAAAGAGCTGCACTGGCATAAACAAATTCCCGGCGTTATTGTTACAACTGCACACACTGGTTTTAATATATTTAAAACTATTAGTGTTTAAAATAAAATATATTTAGTTATATCATAGTTTTATTTCAACATATCTTCTAAAATATATTAATACCATGATTTACAATTGATTACAAAAAGATTATTCATTCTGTGTGTACCATTGCTAGATTAACAAGATGGCGAATTGTTGGTCTCCCATGGGGACAATTCTGAAAAAAAAATTATAGTAATAAAATATGATATTAGATAGATTTCTCATACATAAAGTATGCAAAAGTGCTTACCCAAGGTTTATCTATATCTGCCATATGATCGACTAGAACTTTCATATCTGCTTTACTTAAAGCAGTGCCAATCATAACAGATTTTCTACACGCTCTTGACGCGAACATTGCACGCACACGACTTGGCCGGCAGTACTCTGAGTCACTTTCCTAAGAAATTAACATATTCATTATAATAATCATCTTTCGAAATTAAACTTAGCTATTTTAACTTAATAAGTAACTTACACGCAACATAAATAACAGTTCTTCAATATCATCTTTGCCAAATATCCAGTTTTTTGACATTGGAATAGTTAGTAATTTAACTCTTTTCGTAGGTAAAGCGTTCTCATCAATTTCAAATGTAAAACCGTTCTTTTTAAATATTTGAAGGTTATCCATTAATATTTCTTCATTAACACCAGAAAGCTCCAGTTGTTGAGGTCTGTAAAAATGTGTGAATGAAATTTCGACTACACTCAAAGGATTTAATTTAAAAGTCTTTATTCCTTTAAATGTACTAAGTACCGTTACTTACATAACTAACTTTTGGCTTGTAAGCTCTGTCGTCTTTTGTAACGTTTCAAAGTTGTATATTTCATCTGTGGCATGTTGATCGATAATGAATAGATCATCTCCTAATCGAGTTATAATAAAACCTAAATTAAATTGACCTATAACAGTCATATTCTTAAAAGAATCTTTTGATATTTCTCTACTTAATTCTTCTTCACACTTTTTGTTATAAACAGGATTTATTTCACTTTTAAACTTTATCTTATCTGGTTTATTTTTCTGTTTTTGATTATTGTATATTTCTGCTAATTTAGTAACATGATCAATGGATGTTTTCATTGTTATTGATTTTCTATTATATTTGCCAAGTTCTTCTTTGTCTGTTACAACATCTTGTCTTTTACTTTTAGGAGTCTGAGCAAGTACAGGCTTTACAGGAGTATTTGTATTCTTACAATATATTGTTTTTGATTTTTCAATAACAACATCAGATATATTTCTGATTTGTGTATTAGGTAGTTCATTTGAGAATTCCAAATACATAACTTCGCCTTTTTCATTTTTATCTTGTATGTCATTAGACTTTTCATCCGTATTATTTGAGGGTTCTCTTTTTACTGTAGTAGTAGCAATATGTGTGTTTAAGTCTGCATTTGTGACATTTTCAACTTCAGTCACATTATAATCATTTTCATCACAAAGTTTCATATCTCCATCATCATCATTTTGGTAGATTTCCACTCTTTTCGATTTTGAAATAGCATAATCTAGTAATGTGTTGGACTTTCTTTTAAGATCAGGCTTCTCTTCATTGCTTCCATTTGTTTTAGCGTCACTTTTAATAGATTTATTACTGAACTGTTGCATGAATGAATTAAAAATTCTTGGCTGTTCAACATCTGGTTTAATTTGGGTATTATTTATTGAAAGTGCTGATTCGATTTTTACAACTCTAGGAATGTTTTCGAACAGCTTAATTATAGAACTTTTGACTACATCGAGAATAGCTTTTTCCTTGGCCAAAAATAGTTTTCTTTTGTCCGGTGTAACATTGACATCTACTAATGTTCTCTCTAAGACTATATTAAGAAATACAAAAGGGTATTGATGAGGATTAAATTGTCTATAAATTTCATTGATTAGTTTCATAATTTTAGTTGGTTCACAAGGTCTGGAGTTTACATAATAAAATTGACGATCAGTGCTTGAACGACCACATCCATGCGCACATGTAGATATGTACCCAACCAGTTCTACTGGAGGTGAACCATTCTTGTGTCCTTGAGATCTTTGAGAACTCTGTATACTATCTTGAGAATTAGCAATTTCATTGTTCTCAGCATCATTGGAATCTTCAGATAAATCTATTTCTGTGTCTTCTACATTTATACTCTCTTCTGAAACCTTGATTTCTCCTGATAAACCTTTAAAAATATTTTCTTTTATGTTTGGTGTATATTCAGTTTTTATGTCCAATAAATTTTCTAATTGTTTTATACCAAACACACAAGCTATATTATCTTTGTATGATGAACCTTGTGTGGTAACAACTAATGATTTTGTATTAGAATTAGACTGATTACTACAAGTTATGCTGAAAAAGTTTTTAATTAAAACAATAATTGAAATTATACAAGGTTAAAAATTAAAAACTCTGTACTTACTTTACTCCTAAGGAAATTAAACAATATGCATATAATAAGCTTGTCATTTTATTAAATTCTCTTTTAGAATTCTTGTGCAGTTCCTTTTGTCTTACTGGAAGTGAAGCAAACAAGTCTGTTATGGTAACAGTTGTTCCAACTTGTCTTGAACATGGTGTTTTACTTAATATATTTCCTTTATGATCATATACAATTTTAGTAGCTGCAAATAAAAAAATATAAATAAATAATAAAATCATTTTTTTAATAAATTGTTATATTTGGATTTACCATACTCAGCACTTTGATGTCTTGTTGTAATAGTAAGTTTAGCCAAGGCACAGAGAGAACTAAGAGCTTCCCCCCTAAAGCCAAAGCTAGACACACCTAGCAGATCTGAGTAATCTGTCAACTTGGATGTGTGGTATTTTAAAGCTGCAAAAAAATAACACTAGATAAAAAACCTAATTAAAAGTTCAACCAACCTTTAAACATAAATATGTATTGGCAGTACTACTTAAATGATTGAAATATTTTAGTCTTTATAAAATTACTAGCTGTTGCTCGTGACTTCCCTGCGTGGATTAAAAAAAATATAGCTATTGTGCTCACTTATAATATACCCTATTAATGGTGAAAGATTTTTTTTCAATTGACCTAGTAGTTTTTGAGTTATTAAAATACATACAAAAATACAAATATTTCCTCTTTGTAATATTAGTATAGATATTTAAAAACAAACTTACTCAAAGCAGAAAAGTTATCTTCAGTGACACCAGTACCATTATCTGATACTTCAATGAGATCAATGCCATGATTCTTTAGCCGTATATCTATTTTAGTAGCCCCCGCATCTAATGAATTTTCTACAAGTTCTTTTACTGCTACTGCTAAACTTAATACTACCTGATTAACAAAAAGTATCGGTGAAAGAAATATCTAAAAATATTAAGTTATTTCTCCAATAAATAAACAAATAGGATATTCTCCTATTGTTAAGAATTACACATTACTTTTTTTTATTAGGAAATTATCACAAAGCAATTTAGTTTAAGAAAAACTTTTTCGTTTGTTTAAACAACTGTGGCGTTTCGTCCAACTGTATTACAAGTCTTGTTTAACTTGGAGTAAAAGCTATTAATTTATTTTACCTGGCCGGAACAAATTTTATGAACTGTATCCTTATTGATTGGTTTTATAGCAACTTGCGTATCTTTCGTGTTACATTGATCTCCCATATTTGCTTTTTTACATTAAATATATGGAACTCAATATCTCAAAAAGGGTTAAAGAACTTATAAAATAAAGCTATTTATTAAACTAATGTTTGTCTATACTAATTTTATATTAGATATTTATAAAATACAGGTAAATAACAAGTTTAAATTTTTGTTCGGTAAATAAACTGACATTGACAGAATGACAGAAACAAATTGGGTATTTGACAGCACAAGTATGTTTTACACAGTGTTTAAACTTATAAAAGTTAATTAACTCCCAAATCTATTAGTAAAAAGCATTTAAGAATAAAGCACCGTTAAAAACAACTTTTTTTGAATACTAATCTCAATAAACGCCTTGTGAGTTATAACCAAAAGTTCAAAACAATCTTTTAAGGAAAATATCACACTACCTGGCAGCTGGCAACATTAGTACTGTGTTGTCAATCAACAAAATCAATCATTGATTATTGTGCGTCATAATCACAGAGTACTTTGTAACATACTGAAATTTTATAGAATAATTAGAAGTTCGAGTTTTTGTGTGCTAATTGCGTCTATTTATTATTTATGTTGTAGTTTTATTTTGTTATTCAGTAATTCGGTGTCATATTTGAAGTAAAATTATTTGATATGTCTTTAAATACAGCTCACGCCGATCACGGCGTTTTAATACATGCTGGAGAATGGTGAGTCATATTAAAGTAGATTGCATATTTCTTAGAATACTACAAATAAAAGATTACATTTTTACAAGCAACAAGTGAATAAGCAACCGTTAATAAACATTTTTATTATTATTCTAATGAAATAGCGCAGTACTAATCGCTTGCCAAAATTCGACGTTAATGAAGAATAGCAAATGTAGTCTTCTATCACAGTAAATCTTGTGTATTAATAAAATGAATTGTTTGTGTATTATTTTCTATTAAATTAAATGTTCACTTGAGGTGACTAAAGCGATTCACTTGAGGTGTTAAAATGTTACATCACACATTTAGTTAATATTATGGACATTACAAGTAAAATACTTAAATCCCTGAGCTACGGATGCTCTCACATACTTCTAAGTAAACAAAAAAGAAAAAGAATCCTAGTTAAAAATCTGATTAATGTTTTATTTTTGTTTCAGTATTATAATATTTTCTGACAATGTCACTGTTGAGTTTTACGGAAACGAAACTCCCGAGTTTAAAGGCACTAAGACAGGTCGCATGTACCTAACTACGCATCGCATGATTTATAACTCAAAAAACACGGCTGATTCTATGCGATCATTTAGTTTTCCATTTATAGCTCTGCAGGATGTAAGTATTTCCTTATTAACCATTATTATCATAGTTTAATCATTCCCATATTATCATTTTCCTATATTAATATTTTGTAATAAAACAATTTAAAACATTAATGGTTATTTTTCTTATAATTCTAGGTAGCAGTTGAACAGCCCATGTTTTCAGCAAACTACATTAAAGGCAAAGTGAGGGCTCAGCCAAATGGTAACTTTATTGGGGAAGTAAAATTCAAGCTAACATTTAAATCTGGAGGTGCTATTGAGTTTGGTCAAGCTATGCTTAAAGCAGCTCATTTAGGTAAGTACTAGCTGTACATGAGATAATATAAATGACTAGCTCTTCGCATGCGGCTTCATCCGCATGAAATTATGAAATTTTTATTTATTGTTTACATTTGGCAAATTATCAATAGCAAATGTCAAAATGACACGACATGACAAACCTTGCTGCCAACATCAAGGAAGCAAAATGTTGCTTATGGTCCCTTTCCCACATTAAGGTTTCCATCCAAAATAATTACCCCTAAGTTTAATGGCGTAAAAACTTATAGCCTAAAGTGTGACGTAAGTGCAAGGCTATTTATTAACAAAAGTATTTTTCAAAAACATGTTGTAATTGCTGACATCTTAGGCAACAAAAACTGTGTGTTTATGCTTTATTATAATAGTATACATTTATACATTAGCTTATGAACGCAACTTCGTTTCTGCGGAATAAAAAACAATAGTAACAAACAAATTTTAATTTACTCAGATAAAATAAGGCTCTCTTATGGTAAAGAATTTTTGAAATTGGTGCAGTAGTTGGAGTTTATTCATTATGTAGCAAAATACAATTCTTTCCTCTTTTATAATATTGACATAGGTGTCAACATTATAAATTATTTTTAAAAGTATTTCTGATGTTTTATTTAAATGTAAGCTTAATTATATTGTGTAACATGAAGTGCTCTGTACAGCGTCCCGGCACATGACGGCGGACGCGCCGCCGCCGCCCTACCAGCCGCCGACGGGCCCGTGGCACTCCGCGCCGCCGCCCGCCTACGCCCCGCCCCCGCAGGGGTACTACGGCTGGGTGCCGCCTTACAACGTAACCATATTTTTACTTACAACTTTTTATTCTAGGAAGAAAACACAGGCTTCGCAATGTTTTAGTTTTTAGTTGAAAATGTCTTAGGAATTTGTTCACAGCAAATGTATAATGGGCACATAGTATATTATAATTAAAAGTTTACACTATCATCAAGACTAGAAGGAATATTATAGGCAACTTTAATCTATTCTGCAATAACGTCCTCAACCGCCAGTCTAAAATATAATGTATTTTTTCCCTCAGGCCTTTCCCGATCAGCCACCACCGAACTCTGTGTTTGTGTCCAACAATCCACCCCCGTACCCCGGCGTGTCCGGCGTCACGTACCCGGCTGGGCCAGGCTATTCCGGTGCGGGCAGTCCCGGAGCCCCCCCGGGCTACCCGGGCGCCGCTTCCGCCCCGCCTGGCTACCCCGGCGGCTTCAGCGCGCCCGCGCCCTCCTCCGCCGTGTCTGCACGAGGTAACATACAAATGTTTATCTTATTTAGTCGATTTGTTCTACATGTATTTGTACGTTTTGTAAAATAATTGTAATATGTAGTATATCTATTTCAAATTATTTTCTTTATGATGTATTTAAACTCCTTGCTATATTTGATTAGGTAATAGACGTAACTTTGACAGTATTTAGTATTATGTTAGCGAGTAGATGGTTGCAATAGTAAATGCAATTTCAGATGCGAAGGCGGCGGAGGCCGCGCAAAGCGCCTACTATGATCCCAACCAGCCGCAGACGGCGTACGTTCCGCCGCCCTACAATGTAAGTACAATATATATTAAAAGTAAATTAAAGTACATATTTAATCGTTCAGAAAATAATAAATATTAAAGTACTTTTGATAGTTGCTGTTGAAGACACTTGTTTTATAAATTTTCAGTGATTATTTAATTTATTATTATTTTTTTCACAATGGAGATAAATAATTGAAAACATTTTAAATGATCACAGTACTTAATTATAGATTATATCTTTATAGGATGTTAACTTTGTGAAAGCGTTAGCTATATAGCTAAATGGGATACGAATTAAATTCTTTGTACTGTGTACTCACTTTTATGTTGCACTAGCTTTCGTCCGCGAGTCCATCCGCGTGGAATTAAAAAAAAAAAAACAAAAAGTGAGCCTATTTGTTCTTCCAGATTTTCCTTCAAGTCAAATTTTCCTAATTTCATTAAGATCCATTCAGTCTTTAAGGTAAAAACTATAACAAAAATCCATCCATCCGTGTAAACTTTTGCATTTATATTATTAGTAAGAAGTAATATTATTGTATAATAAATTGTAATGTTAACTTTTCCAGGATCAACCGCCGACTTATCAGGAATCTACATCAAAGAAAGAAAACTAAAGCATTGCCCGCATTACCATATGTCTTATACTTGCTATTCATTACCCAAAAATGTATAAACTATATCATTGAAAAATATATTTGGCTTATCTGCCAGCTTCGTTTCTACGCTAATAACATTCCCGTGCTATTAAGCATTTCGTATTGTTATTTGAAATATTTATCCAATTAAGGTAAAAATATGTTAAACAAAGTACATAGTTATTATGTGTATAAATAGTTTAAATACATACATAGGCTCTTTTTAATCACTCTAAAATCGATAGGAACCATTCGTCCACGATCGTATAAATAATAAATCATTCAGTCTTATAAAAAAACAATGCTTATAATGAAACGATTATAAAATAATATGACGTATTATGGAAGTTTTTCAGATTCTAAGAACCTATGTATGTTTTGTTAAAAAATGTATTACTATAAATGTTTATATTAGACTATCGAAATGTGATATCGTATTTTTTCAATTTCCAAATTATTATTTTATTTTATGTTTGCTTCAAAATTGTTAGGTGCTTTATACACAAGAAAAAGTGGTTATATTGAATTAGTACTTTTTAGTTTTTATTTTATTTGTTATTTAAGATATTTTATTTCAAAATAAAGCGAATTAAATTAATGTCTTTTGTTTTTTACAATCTTTAAATAAACAAGAAATGGTAAATGTAACATTGAGGAATATTTTTTTCTCATGATATACTCGAGCGCCGAATTATATTTTATTTTATTTAATACTTTGCTTATTGGAGTAGTATAGTAAATAACGAATGAATAGAAAGGAAATTATGTTCTCCAAAGCCACATATAATGTACCGAAGGTATATTTTCTGCGAACTGTATCATAGTCACATCTACTTTATCCTACTACTAAGATATTCTAAATGGACGACTTTAAAAACACATTAGAGCTAATTCTAAATACATTTCTAAAATTTTAGATTGAGAAGTATGAAATCGGAAAAAACATTACATTTTCAAACCTAAGGATTGTAACGAAAAACAAAAAAATTCTGTTGTTATAGAACCTAAAAACGCTTTGCTAACTGTCCATCTGAAACTGCGCTGTAAGAAGATTATTGACAACGTCATCGTAAAATATAAAAAAGACAATCATGAAAAATCTTATGTCAATCATTATAAAAATCTAAAAGTATAAATAAACTAATAATTATGATAAAAAACTGTTCGTAACACAGTACCTAGAGTTGAACATGTTTATTATGGGTAAGTTACGTTATTACGTGTTGACCAAATCAGAACCATACTATGCAAGCCTAGTTTGACAACCATAAGAAAGAAGCCTAAAACTGCCACTCATTAACCCATGAAACCCTTAGTAATCGCTGTGATACAGAATTCTTATTGTTACTTTAGTGTTCGTGTCTTGTGAAATACATAGATGTTTACCTTTTGTATTCCTAAAGCAGTAGTAGATATACCTTATAGAAGTTTTTGGGTTTCCTCTCTTAATAAAATTAAATACAAATTCGTAGGATCTTTAAATAAAAGTTAACTTACTTAACAATTGAAATGAAAAATTAAATTTAGTATTCAACTCCCGTAATACTTTGTTAGAATTAAAACTGGTTTTCACACTGGACAGCAAAAATCAATTTAAAATATTTTTTTTCTTTTAACTTTAGTGTAAAAACTGAAGCTGGAGCAAGGTCTGGGTAAATTATCAAAGGTGGCAATATAACATGAGTAAATACTGTGAGTACGCCTTCATGCTATATTACCTTTAACCGCGAATTTATGCGTTTACATTTTTTGACGAATTCTTTCACGAATACGGGACAATATAAAATGTTTGTGTTTTAAAAATATAGGTAAGTTTAACAATTTTATGCATTAGGTTATAATGAATTAAATGAGTGGCAGTATTGGCTTCTTTTAAATGTTTTATTTTGCTAATGGTGATTGTTTATTGCAGAGTAAATTCGCGTCGATGGCTCCTGCAATCCACCCGCCGTGCACTCCGTCAGCTTCGTGCGCACCAGTGCGATGCCATCCCACGCCGCCGCCATGCCAAAATCCCGAGAGATGTCTGAAAAGAACCACCTCCAAAGGGATAAGGCATTGTCAGAGTGCACTCTCTATAATGCGAACGAGATCGAAAGCAAAATGTAGTAACTGTGGAAGGTTCAAGGGTGCTGATAATCCGAGAAATGTAAAGCAAATCGAAAAGTTTTTAAAAAGAAAATCTAAAGAAGCAAAACTGAGAAGAAAAGATAGATTGACAGGAAGTCACAGTTATATTCAGTACGTGAGGAAGCAAGGGACGCCGCGGTCCAAGACCGAATGCTGCGCCGGCAAAGGACATAGAGGTCGAGTTAAGAAGAAAAAGTGCTGTGAAATTTTGTAAATTCTTTTCTGTAGTTGTTACTTTAATAACAAACTCGGTTATTTGTATTTAAATATTTACTTGTACAAATTTTATTTTACTTCCGGTCATAATATGTTCCAATACCATGAAGAATATTCTGGTTATATTTTTTTACAAAAATACTGTCCTACGTGTTCAACTTCATGCAATAACCAGTTTATCAGAGACATTTTCTTACTGAAATAAAAAAAATGGCAAAATTCAATATTTGTTTTTTTTTGGACATTACATACTTCCTATTCTAGATTAACGTTTTATTATTTTTTGTAAGTATTTTTTTGTCAATATTTTATGTCAATTTTAGAATTCAATTATAAAGAACGTTTTTTATTTTAATTTCAGCTACATACTCGCTTAAGAGTTTAAAACCTTGTGTATCGGCACCATCATGTAGCGTACACAGGCACCGACCCCGGCCAGCTCCGTGCCCAGAACCGGACAAGTGCTACAAGAAATGTATCAAGCGCAAGAGGAAATGTCCCAGCGCCTCCGAAACCGTCAGCAGGAGGGGCATGCCTTGCGATTGCGCTAGATTGCAGTCCAAGGAATCCAGAATCAGTAACAAAAAATCACATAAAACTCACAAAAAGCGGATGCGCAAAGTTATGCGGACACGATCGATGGAATCCCGTTGGCGTAAACAGAGAAAATGCTGTGTTATTTTGTAGTATATTTCATTACTTAGAAAACAGCAGCAAAGAATTTCAGAACGATATCTCTAATTTAAAGTTCATGTTGTACGAAAACAAACAATTTGTATTTCAATTCTAATAAGAAAACCTTTTTATAATTTTTAAACAAAAAAAAATCTGTCTTTCATGAACATGTTTGTTAATGACCTCATTAGTTGTAATGCTGAAATTATAGACTTGCGATAATAGTCCCTTGGTTTCATTGTATTCAGAACTAAATTACTTTTATTTTTTTCCAGTCCACGATCCCTATACATATGTAAATTGATCAATACTTCGCTTATCAAGGAGATGATCACAATGACTTTCTGACAGAATGCGATTAAAAACAATTCCGCCTTGCACCTAGTATCGTACCAAGTTTCTCAATATATAGTTTTATCAAATTATAAGTTTTTATATACAACTTAACGTCAATCAATAGATAAAAGATAAATGTTGTCACTAAGATCAAGAAATGCAGGTAGGTACCGACATATTCGTCCAATGCTTAGGTATAAGCAGGCCCTAGTCTACTTTGACCCGTACGAGTTGACTTGAGACCTAAGTGATTTTCAAAAAACAGTATGCAAAATACAATGTTCTTTGAAGGAACATAGGACAATTACTGTTTTTACATACATTACAATACTCTTGGCTGTTGCTTTTAAAACAAATATGGTTCTCTGTATTGAGCTTCCAAGGCCAACACTGGAGTCGAGAATGGCATCCCATTCCAGCGCCGTCTCAAGTTAACTCCTTTATACATTGTAGAGATAATTTATTTTCAGAAGCAGAAACAAATTAAAATCTCATTTTAATGATTCTGGGGGACGCTAAAGGTGTAATCGATGAGTTTTATTTTTATTTAGCGATTAGTATTTATTTCGCTTTATAGTATAGAAAACATTATAGAATGTTAAGAAAAACCTTGAAACTGTTTTTGTGGAAAAATGCCGCAAAATAGGTTGACAAAATTCTACAGTGTTTAAGTTTGATTCTTTATTTGACATTTCGTTTTTGTATCTGTCGTCGTGCCGGTTAGGTAGGGACGTACCTATTTTGGATTTCAACATATCGATTTTATTTGCTTGAAAATCATTGTTGTGTTACATGGTATCACTACAGTTTTGTAATGCTTTAATATTGATAGTATTTATTTTAATCTACAAGACATACGCCAAAATATCTTTCTGGATGTGCATGTCAATAAAATGGAATCAATGTGTTTTTCAACTAAATAAAACAAGTATTTTAATTTAAATGTTTTAACAAAGATTATAATGGGAGACGCTAACAGAAGTCTAATTCTTCTAACTAATTAAGATGTACTGTTTAAAAATGTTATTAATCCATAGGTTCATGTTATATAGTACTAGAAATTATTATGTCACATTACAAATGTTACTTGACACATTTTCGTTTATTGTCATCCTTCAATTTATCGACATTATCGACGCACAGTCGCCTGTAGGGACATCCCTAGATAGCATTATAAAATTATGGTAGTCTGCTGAGTGGTTGGCTTGATATTACCGATTTTAGGAAAATAAGAATTCGGACGTCTCTGTTGTGTAATTTTTTCCTTTTATGTACGCGGTCGAATTTTTGTGTCATTAATTATCTTCGCTTCATTTCTTGTCCATACATCGTACTTTCGCTAAATTTTGGTATTCTTCAGAGCTGGCCTGGATTATTGACGTTTCATGTGCCTATATAAAATAAGCTTCCGAATGCTGTTTGTTTCGGTGTACGCACTGATTGTGGGTCGTGGGCGTGCGGTTTGATTTTAGTAGGATACCAGAGAAATATTTGATATTGTGGAAAGTGCAATATTGTGATACATTTATTTCGTTAATATGTGGTACGAATTGGCACTGATGTGGCAAACCGGATCGCATCAAGGTGGAGAAAACGTGACGCTTTTATAAGGTCAGTATCAGTTTTCTTTTCTAGTTATTTAGTCTTAGAATTTAGACTTTCATTATTTATACGAGTCGGTAATTTGCACGTTAAGTAACCTATCGTAGCTACAGATAAAAAAGTATCCCTACATATATGTATGCTGTATAAAGCACACTATATATTTTATAGAAATTATTAACAAGTCAGATATTTAAACTATACTTGTATATCATATAATAAATGTAAGTCTTCAAAGCTTTTGAACAATTTTGACTTACAAAAATTGAATTATTTTGTGGAATACAATAAATATTGAAAGTCAGATAGGTTTATTTTCACAGTTGGTTTTGATGTTCTTTATTTTTATATTCAAAATAGGTATTGCTTTATGTTTATAATTTAAACATTTAGATGTAATAAATGTTTGAAATCTCTATGTTTAATACAATGGTATTACAGTTCACACAAACTTTCACAGTATGGTAAAATGTCAATGAATGGTGGGTTTTTTCTTACACATTTATCTATCTTTCGATGTTATGTTCTGTTATGGTGTTGTCTTTGTGGTAATCTGTTTTGTAAATAATATAATGTAATGTACAGATATATAATCTTTACCTAGTTGTTTCCTCTAATATCATCCGCATTTTCAATAAACTCAAAATAGCTTATTCTACACTACTTTATTTACTTGCAAGTGTTTTTTTACTGCTTTTTAATTTTAAAATGTATGTTAAGAGTAAAACATTCGCCTTCCCTACAGGAATAATTTAATAATTATTTAAAATATATTTTTAATCTGTTTGTAAATGTTTTAATACAGTTTTTATTGTAAACTATTGGCACTTTTTGAGGTCCTTTGCCAAATAATTACTAACAACGTTGGTTTATTATCATTGATGTTTTAGATAAAATGTTTTTTTTTTACTTGGATCTTTTTATCTAATTTTTTTTTGGTAAGTATTAACATGTGACAAACTTCATTTAGAAGACAGTCATCTTAATTGTAAATTAATCGTATAATAATTAGTAACAGATAATTGATGAAAATCATGAATAGCCATAGCCAACATTATATTGTTTTTGAAGTTGCAGGTGATAGCTTTTTTTTATTGTGTAATATGGGTATTTAATAAATATGAAAATAATAAAAAGTTAAGAATTTGACCATAAAATGTAAATTGCTAATGGGGTAGGGGAGTTTAACTTTTGGTTTTGATCTCGAACAGGTATACTATTTAAGGCTTTATTACAGTAATATACTTAAATTCATAATTCAGCCCCAATAAGAATTCATGGATAGTGACCTATTGGAATCCATTGTAAATTGCATGGTTCAAGGGATAGATGTTTCATATACATCTCCCAAGCAGACAGATTTTGAAAATAGAATGGGTCAAAGATGTACATTTTTTTTAAATCCAAGTATACATATAGAACAATGATAAGCTTTTAAATGTTTGTATAAGTACCTAAACTATAAAATTATTAAACGAAAATTAGTGGTAAATTTATGAATTGTTGATTCATTTTTTTGTTTTTTCGTCATTGTTAAAATAGATGCTTACATGACGGACCGTCAGTAGTTCGTTCGCGCACCGTCGAGGGCGTTAGTGACGTGTCCAAGTGGAAAGGAGTCGCCCCTTAGCCCACCCTATATTGAGCACCCTTCGCTCCGTTTACAATGACTGCCGTATAAACTACGCCGCGCTCGTAACTATCTCTCAGGCTAATGTTCGTAGTCCATATATCCAGGAGATGTTTTAATTAATGTAATGTTTTTTCTTTTAAAATTCCATACATCAAAGGAAACGTCTTTTACCATCCATTTAGAGACAGTTACAGCAATGTTTAACACAACATAATATGGCTTCTGAACCTATATAATAGTTTATTTGGCCTTCTCCCCAAAAAAGAAAATCAGTGATATCGTAAATTAGTACGAAAATGTTCTATTCAATTAAATTTAAAAAAAAATGACGAGGTTAATGACATTGTTGATAATAATAATAAATCTAGGGTTAGTGCTTTTTTTATTGAAGGGTCCTTTTGTCCGCCCTTTACGAATGCCAAATCATTTAGATGGCTTCCCTTGCTAAGCGTTTGCCTAATTGATATCGTAATGAAATCAATATCGCATAACCACTTTTAGATAAACTTCACCTTTTAAAAAAATCACGCTTCATTTGTCGTTATGTATTTCGTAACTGATTAATAATAGGTACTAGCCGTATTTTCGTATCTTTTTTTATTCCTTGTATGTATAAAATATTCAAGATGTTAATAGGATGTCATGTGCTTTTATAGTTTAACTTTCACACATTTTATGTCTCAGTTTGTATGTAAACGTAAAGTGAAAATGAACACATTCCGTGCCCTCCGAAATAAAAGCGGGGCGTCGTTTACGTGAATCTCTTTGAATGAATGACATGAAGCGATATTCATGATGAACACACAAATTATACTCAGTGATCTGCTTTGAATGTCGCCTATGTTAAGAGAAAATATTTTTGTAGAGAAAAAATAAAATACATTACTCTATTTTCTTTCTTTTATTCTAAGCAGCAACTTTGTTTAGTATTATAAAAACACATTGTTGTGAGAGTCACGGTTTCAGGTAATTACAAATTTACGACGTATAGTTCTTACTTACCACGCAGTAGGCGGTGAAGTAAAATAATGGTAAGTAACAAGAATGATTGGAAAAAATATTTTTCTTCATCTAATAATGTTATTTATTTTTATTTTGAGTCAGATAACTGGCATTGACATTTGGTTTCAAGATAAAATTTAAACTATATGTCCCTTCACCTTTTGACTAAAAGTTAAAAGCAACCCATAAAGGTAGCACAGGCTCATACAACGTTGACCTTTAAAGAAAAAGATTATTTTGGAATAAGGCGTGATAATATGTTGATCAGGCATTAAATCTATATTTTAATTAAACTTTTAGGCAGTTTAACACTCTGTCAATAATTTTTTTCCTATATTTGGGATATAGGGTTCGACACTTCTTCAGTGAAAATTATACGCCACAATATCATAAAACTTGACTTAATTCATCATGCTAGTGTACAGCGATACGAAAAACAATCTTAGTTCATTATTCATTAGCTTCAAAGTGTTTGCATCTCTTTAACAGAGAACAGTTCTCTTATTTTAATTGTAACGTTAAAAATAGGGGAAGGTCGTTTGCGTCGCAGCAGATATAATTAATCTATCTATACTAATATTATGAAGAGGACAGATTTGAAACTATTGAACTGATTTCAAACACATTTCACATTAAGAGTACATTTTATTG